GAGATAACCTGTAAGAGACACTTTTGAAAGATTGCGACACAATTGATCGTGGTCAATTCGAAAAGAAAATGCCAAAATTATATCAGATAGGAATAAGGAGTTGGAAGAAATAATCGTTTTAGTAGCTGTTGGAAATAATCCCAAAATGCCAATGTGACATTTGAAAGTATCAATAGGATTTTAAAAACACAANGCATTACGTCAAGTCTACAAAACTTAATAAACCTGTGCAGCTTTCAAATATTCCACCAACAAGTGCAGCTGCTCATCAACATTTCAACCGTGTATATTATCAAGTTCAAACTTGGTTAGGACATGATTTGGAACCCCAGGTATGGGGTTGGGCAATGCGAAACGATTTTCTGGAGCCTATCATGACAATTTTACCACCTGCTCCAGAAGATTTGCTAAATACAATTTTCTGCAACTGCAAGAGTGGTTGTGGTTCGCGATGCGGATGCAGGAAAGCGGGCTTGCAATGCTCTTTAGCTTGTGGCCAATGTAATGGGCAAGCTTGTCTCAATGCTCTACCATATCAGAGTGACATTAATGAAGATAGAACCTTTGACCCCGAAATCATGGAAGCACTTGAGACAAATGTCGTTGAAGACGATAATGAAGACCAGTTTGAAATTTACGAGTAGCCGGAAGACGACGATGAAGAGGAAGAAGATGATTAAAATTATAAATTGTATTTTTCGTACCCATCAAATACTGTTGATGCTGATTCATATTTCAGCGTTATCAGGTTTCTGTAAGATAATTCTAAATCCACTTGTCTACTCCAATTTAAAATAAACATGAAGAACCAGGTGTTTTCAAAATGTTTACGCAACCTCTCCAAGACGAGACCCGGTGCTCCAATAAATCACCCAGGTGCCCAAGCGGGCTCTCTGAAATAATAAATACAAGAAAAACAAAAACCCCCACGGCAAATCATCTCCAAATCGATTATCGTTCCCCCAAGATTTCCCGCATATCCAACTTTAAAACGAAGAAAATCCCTTCTTATTAAAACCCTCGAACCGTTTTCCGTGAAATCCGAGTTATGGAAGTTGTTTCTTTCCCAAAGCTCCTGATGCGGATTTTTAACGCTTTGTTCCACAGTTATATCTGCAAAAGTTACAAGCCAGAACACCTTCGGAATCGCCGGGCTTTCATAAATATCAATCGTGGGTGGCCGGGCCGTCCACCGGTGGAGGTGTTATCGAAGCAAGCCGGGAATGCGAGACACGTACGGGAGAATTTTCAAGAGAATGGCATTAGTGACTAGAGGGCGTAGGATGGGCGAAGGAGATTTCGGGGATGAATCTTCGCTGAACTCTATCAGGTCGTTCAGTTAACGATACTTTCGATTATTTCGGAAAAGCTATCAGCATATTGGTCTCTCTGATGGACATTCATTGCAGCTTATAATGAATTTCATGACTATAATTATTGTTCTAAGATATTCAGAGAGTAGTCCTAACACAGGACACATTTTTTTTATTTGAGTAGAAAAACCCTTGGTTGCTTTTTATTAATACAGGGCTATTCAAATTCGTTTCTGTACATGGCGATCTCGTAAACGATAAGAGATAGAGTGTCGGTTAAATTGTGGCAAAGTTGCGTATTTGAGAGGACTATTCAATGATGTAAAAAAATCGATTATAGCTCTTTTGGTTCTGGAGATACACAGGAAAAACCAAAAAATCCCAATTTTTTTCTATACCTTCCTTATTCGCAGGTATATTGAAAATCTGTCTATACTTTGCTATTGGCACTTGATGTGGGCTATCAGAATATGTCCAAGAATCTTTTATACAGGGTGTCATCTGACTTGGGCCACTCCCATCTTTGAATTTTTAAATACGAACCTGTATTTTTTGTTGTAGTTTTTGTATCGTCGGCGTTCACTTCATACTGAGAAATTAAATTGAATTTTTTATTTCGGGATGTTTCGGTAATATTTGATTATAATTGTGTGAATTATTCCTTTTTAAATTACGGCCCTAGAAATTGGTTGACTGAGTTGAATAAAAACACAATAGCCACTTAAATAGTCCAAAATAGTAAGATCTGGTGATCTTGCAGGCCATCTTATTGGTCCATTATCTGTCTCGAAATGGAAGGACTCCAATTCGAACATTTATTGCGCCATTAACTTTTTTGTGTATATAAATTACTTCATTTCAATTTTCATTACAATTATAGTGTTCGTTTCGGATGTTATTATTGCTATCATTTCTTTTTCTGCTCATGTTGCGAATATGAATCATATCTGTACTCGAATGACTAGATATTATGATACATATTAGTCAGCTGATACTGAGCATTCATCAAGATAGCATGTTTAACTGAATATAAGTAAGTCTATCTAAACTGGTCGTTTTAATTTGATGCCCTATCCTAACAGGTTATGGACCCAAGATAGCGCTCAGTCGCCATCTTGAAAGTTTCCTCTGTCAATTTCACTTCAAAATAAAGTATTCATGCATTAATTTCACTAACCCAAATTTAAATTTTTTGAGTTGACCCGTTCAAAAAATAAAAGGGTGGGGGGGACATTGAAGAAATGCACTGTTCCAATATCATGTAAATATGATCTGACTAGAATAAAAATTATTATTATTTTCATTATCGTATACGAACAGTGGTCCATCGATCGAGTTATTATATCTTATGAAGAAGAGTAATCAGAGAGTTTTTTCTGCTACTGCCGTATAAAAGTTATATTAACCAAAGCATTATCGAATGTGGACCAGTCAAAACCGTTCTGAACCAAAGTATAATAATGACCCGAATTAGGAGTTGAAAACCACTACTCACGATTTGAAATAATATGCTCACAAAATGTGTTTATCGGTATGAATATACTTCGTAACAGAGCATACTCAAAAAGAAGCAATGTGATCGTAGGTATTTGAAGCATTTCATCTTCATAGTAGAAACTTTCAAAAAACAGCAATATCCTGGTTTTCAGATGACAGTCAACTACCATATTTATCATAATCATATTGATTGTCCACGTCTCGAAACTAGTGTCCAAACCATAATCTAAGAATACTTTCACGTGGCTCATGTATTTCAAGCTTCCACAATCTTTGAATATAACCTGATGTATTCAATGAATTTGTATCTTTTCATTTTGTCAAAGAAAAGTTAAAGTGATCAAATGTGACCCAAGTACCAAGTATACATGTATTTGTTGATCCCAAACACATTTTGAATATTCTCTACTTATTCTGATTCTTTTATCTCTTTCCATTAATATCTATGTTGATTTACCTACTTGATAACAAGGATATAATGATTGAATTTTTTTTTCTTTCTTCTCAGGGTCACGAGAAGTCATACATCTTCATCACCTCAAGGTTATTTTAAAGAAGAGGTGACGAAACGAAACCGACTCTGATGGAAAAATAGACAACTGAGATAGGGAGAATTTCGTGACGTCATTGGAAGGAAATCAATTTGACCACGGTCGTTATCGACACGTCTGTCCTCCACCATATCAGAAACGAAACTCCAGATACCTATATTTCAAATGGGCCACATGACATTTCAAAATGGCGCTGCACTGCGACATATTTCTAAAAGCAAGGTCATCCTCAGGTTTTGATTTCTGGGTATTGGTTTCCAACGAGAAATATCCAAAGTTGAATATATGTGTTGAACAAATGCCTTCGTATTTTGGTTCAACATATTCATGTGAGTCAGCATTTTCCTACTTAAAACAAACAGAAAAAAATATAGTTCTCACTTGACAGATGCTAATGCATTGAAATCTTTAAGGTTGGCAGTTTCCAACTACAGACCTGATTTTGCTAATCTAGCGGAAGATGCTAATACGCAAAACTCGCACTGATATAAATAATTAGTGACTAAGAATAATATTTGTACATACATGTTTTTCCCTGAATAAAATAAAAAATACTGCATGATTGTATATATACTGAACTACGCTATTTCATTTAAGTTTTCAAGAAGTACCTATGTAAATGGTAGATCGCACAAGGTTTCGACAATGATCACCCCTGGTATATAGACTATCGATTCCATTTTTGTGATAATTTTACTCCCTATCAAAAAATTCTTATTTTACTTTTTACTGCTGGAGCATGGTTGATTTACAAGTCTACCTACATATTTTTTTTTATTATTAGCTGATTCGATTTCCAGTAATTCCATTTCTATTTTGTATTTTCTCATGATGAGGACATTTTCTGCATTCATTTGCCATAATTTAGTATCAAAAATATTTAATATCTCGTCATATTCATTTCTATTTGAGTTGCACAGTTTCAACCAGTAATTTTTGATTTTGACAAAAAAATTCTTCTTTTCTCTGTTACGGCGCTTGGTACTCGTCTTAGAATATCTAACGCCATCTATTGGTGAAAGGGAAATTATGAATCTTGGATGGTTATTTAAAGAGATCTTATTTTCTTCGGAAAATGTTAATCATAAAAACAATAGTGCCATCTATTCATAAAATATTGCAAAACAACTACTATAGATATCTTTAATTTTCTTAGAATTGGTAATTGTCAGGTGTGAAAATTGAGAAAAGAATAAGAAATTGGTTAATATTCATATGAACAGAAGCCAAATTTCATGAACAGCAACCAAATTTCCAAGAGTAATTTCATTTATTGCCATCTGCTGGATAAAATTGCTAAACAACGCTACAAATGTGTTGCGGCTTGCAGAAGTTAGAAATTCCTTTATGAAAGGCAGTATGCTGCTGCCATCTACCCATAAATATTTTTTATCATCCAATTGGTTTTGAGATCTGATATAATGTTTTTGGAAGTGGAACCCACTGGTACATGTCTTAGACCTCACTGTAGAGCTCTAATAATGATAAAAATATCATGTACAGTGTCAAATTTGGTAGAATTGTTAAGCATCCTGCTCCGCCATCTATGATAGTATAAACGTACCTCTACCATAACCCTAAAATATTTCCGGATTTCTGATTGGTCAATAACTCTCCCGCCACCTCTTTCGACAAATGTTATTGTTGGTACCCCTCTAATGCGCCATTGACAAAACGCTTGGTGGCTAATCGATGTTCCTGTGTCTTCGATGTCTTCGTAGTCTTCGTTTTCTTGATCGAGTTTTGTAAAGCCTACTTTTGTCGTCGAGGTTACGTTTCAGGCTTGATTTGTGTTTTATTGTTGCTTGTGTTGGGAAAAGATCCGTTTTGGAATGGAAAATCGTTTAGAATTAGAAAAGCGTGGCAAAAAGCCCGTAGAAGTGAGTATTGTTCATATTTTTTTGTTATTATTGTTAGAAGTTCTAGAAGTGTTTTCATATTTCGGGCATGTGGGACAAATGTTTCAATTATCGCACCGGTCTCATACTTTTTTAGAATATATTAATAAGTAATGTAATTTAAGATAATATCACTTTGATCCAGATAACATGTTCAGATGATTATTACCGGTTTTAATAAAAAAATGTCACCACCATAATGAAAAAGCTAATAAAACTAATTTTTGAATAATCCATCCTTTGGAAAAAGGGATAATGGGATTTCGCCTTTGATTTACTTTTTTCTCCACAGATTATTGAGCTTATTTTGGATAATACTCGAAGTACTTCAATAGTTGGTCTAACAGATGAATACGTCAATCTTCAAATCCTATCCCTTATCAATGTTGGCCTTACATCCCTCAAAGGATTCCCCAAACTACCCAATCTGAGGAAGCTAGAGCTAAGTGACAACAGGTAAGAAAAAAAATATTTCCAAAATATATATTTTACCAAAACACTACCAGGTATTGTTTTCTGTGACTCTTTGATATAGCCTCTTGATCCTTCCAGGGGGCTTAGAGCTTCTATGTATAGGATATTAGAGTTCTAATTTTTCCAGACAGGCATTTTTGTCATTAGAAGATGGTACAATTAATTGTAGGTAGTAGTGATTTCAATTTTGTCTTGATGAACATGTGGTTATTGAAGAACGATTTCAATGAAAGCTAATCTCTAAACCTCTAATCTCTAAACCTATAATCTCTAAACCTATAAGTAGTTGTAATCTGAATATATCAACAATTTTTCTATATGCAGTTACTCCTTATATAAACACAAATTCTTTGCTGCATGTTTATTTCCCCTGTAACTGAAAAACATTCACAAAACAAAATTCTAGAAGTCATCAAATATAGGCCGATCTCTCTCCTACCTACATTTCTAAGAAACAAAAAACTGGGTTCCAGTTTATCCATGAACTGAATGATTTGACAAACTTTCTACACACACATTTTCATGTGGAAAATAGTAAGTAATATTTTATTTTATGATGTCAGGCATGACTTTCACAATGATGCTATTGCACCTAATGAAATATAACAAAGTCCCGAACAGTTGTAAAACAATCAAATGCCCGGTAGTGTTGATATCACATACGAATCTTACAAAAATCTAGCAAATAGTTCAATATTGTATTCAACATGTTACTGTTAACTGTTAGCAAAAAAGTATCGCTTATGATTATTCGAATTGTAAAATAATTTATTGCACAACTAAGATGTTCACTCAAATTCTCCAGAGTGATTACTTGGCTAGACTGAATCACAATGTTTTAACATTCAATCTCAACTGGCTCATCAAAATATACCAGATGTGAAGATGAAGAGTGGCAATGAATTTTCTACCATAGTACATTCCATATGAATTTGAGATATTTCTGTACCATCTGCAAAAATACACATTGAAAACCTATCAGACAAGGGAAAAATTTGTGATATGTTGTCATATTTGGGTGCATTTCTTCTCAACAAGTAAATTACTTATACACACTCTATGTTGTACTTTTGCTTCAATATGTATTGGGAATAATATCATTGTTAGAAAGTTTTTTTTTAAGTTTATGTATCTATCTGTCTATGTAGAGTGATGAAAAACATATCTTCTAAAAATGCTTTTGCACACAATATGAATGACTATTTTTTGGATTACACTCAAGCTTGGATTGATAAATCATGATTTGATTGAAATGGCTCTCCTTGTATTCGTCAGATAGAAAATTCATAAAGTCATGCTTCGAGTCGTGCTTCCAAAGTCATGCTTCTTTACTTTGACATGAAATGTTGAAATAAGGAAGTATTCCAACTAGTATAACAAAATGGACAGATTAATGGACCAATCATTAATGGTCCATTGATGATTGGACCCTGCTGATCGTATAACTAGAGTACCTTCATTTCAGGCTTCACTCTATCACTTGAAACAACAGTATTAGGATTAAGCTTCAATTTTTAGAATTAAGACGATTTTAAATCGCACAGGTCTGAGGCAAAACATTTTACAAGAATTAAAATATTAACATCACAAAAAAGAATATTTGAAATAATCATATTCAAAACTTCCACAGATTCATAAAACTATTTGAGATCGGGAATACTCACATTAAAATCTGACTTTTGTCACACTTCCACTGCAAAAAAAAATCATACATTCTACAATTCATTGTCACCTATTTTGTATTAGTTGAATCTTATTTATTTAACATGTATGTAATTCATTTTATCGTTTTGTATTAATTTCTGTTTAATATTCACAATGTGTTTTTCTCATTGTAAACTAGCAATTTATGTTTTCTCCACACTCTGTTACTTTTCTTCGTTGTAAAACTGATGAATATGCAATTCAAATGAAACATACCTTGTGTCAGTTTTCCTGAGCAACTTCTCTGACAACTTTTCTGTTTCTTATTAAATATTGCTATATCATATACTAAATGTTTTTGAAGTGATAACTTCTTATGGGATATCAGCGGAAGGCAGGCGCTTCTCTTGTCGGACAGATGCTGAGTGTGCGATAAACATATACTGTGAACAGTATTATAAAAATCTAACCAGCAAGAACTTAATAAATATTCTTTTATTATGTGAAACGTGGCTTGAAAGTTATGATACTAATTTTGTGAATGTACATTATTAGTATCATCTAATCCTACAAAAGTAACAATTGGCTTATGAAAGCTATAACATACCCACAAACACAAAATAATCAATAAAAGATTTTATTAATGAATAACCTTTCTTTACATATATGTACCTTACATATTCCTTACAATATTATTATACATAAAATTTAAGTAATAACCTAAGCTTTCCTCAAGTTAAACAATTTCAATAAGGTTCAACTTAGAGTAGTTTAAGTTATCACTTCTGTCGGGCGTCCCGAAACGCACACGTTTTCTTTTAATTAATATTACAAATAAATTATTACATTTTTCACAATAGTGGATATCATTTATGATGGTGCAACATCCATATTGCTTTGGCTGGGAAAATATATTGTATGTCATTTCTTGGATTCTCCCATTCATTTTGTAAATTTCCAGAACTATTCAATTTCACACAAAATGCATAAATACCTTTTCAATAATAATAAATATGCTTCATTGTCATAAGATAAACTTATTTATGAAGTTTGACAAATAGCGTTCAAATTTTTAGATACAAATCAATAACAAATGAATTAAAAATTATTTTATTTATTTATTTATTCAACAGGTAACCAACAATTTTTATACAATATATTTACCTTAGAAAGTTAACTATTCTAGTATCTACTTATCTGATAAATCAACCTATATATAGAGAAAAAACTATTTATTGATGATTTTCACTATAACGGGTTTTACAAAAACCGCGACATGCGTTTTGCTACACAATAGCTTCCTCAAGCATAAACCTCTATATATAGAGAAAATTAAAATTAATTGTGATAAAAAATAGTCTTATTAGAGAAATATTATATCTGCATGTGCCCGTCTTGTACTGAGTTGAGCAAGACAACAGTAGAGTGAATGAATTCTAGATGGCATATTTATTTTGATATTTGTTCTGAACTTTCTTTAATTTTATGACTGTGGTTGAAGTAAGTTGGGAACCAAATACAGGTGCAATACTCAATCACTGATCTTACCAATGCAAAGTATAGTATTTTAACAGAAAAAATGTTGGTGAAATCTTTAGTCGACCTGCATAAGAATCCTAACATTTTCATTGCTTTGTTAGATATCTGTTGATACTGTGAATGAAAGTCCATCTTGACGTCCATCATATCACCCAGATCTCGTATACATTTTGCAACATTGACATACATGTAATTCGCCTTCTCATTTTCATGTGGAAAATAATAAGTAATATTTTATTTTATGATGTCAGGCATGACTTTCACAATGATGCTATTACACCTAATGAAATATAACAAATATGCCAAAGATTTGATAACTTATCGCCTATAAAACATACAATACAAATAAATATACCCGTATTATAAGCAAATGAAGCTAATGAAAAATAATACCAAAAAGATTACTACAAAATCGTCTATCGAGAAGAAAAGTTTGTACTGTCTTTCTAAAGATCTCGTTGAAGGAGTTTGTAAACTATGTCAACTGGAAGATGATTTTATATTTCAGTCCCGTTATGAAATAATGAATCAATAATTAGAGTCGAGGTGTTTCACTGTTTCCAATGGAATGAGAAGTGATAATTATTTTGAAATATGTTCTATGAACTATTTATAAGATGAACAGTACAATGACAGTTATTCTTCGGCTTCAGCCTTACAGAATGGTTGTACATGCTTCAAAATGGAAATCCATATCGTAGCTGGGAATCTGTCACTGCTTATCAGGCAGTTTTCACAATTTTGAAATCCATCTCCGCAGAAACTTCTCTAACATTGCTGAATGTTAGAGACGTTTCAGCAAGCTCCCATTGTCTGAAAAAGTATTAACAGATTTAAAATCTAGCAGTGGAAATTTAAATGAATAAAATATCAAAAATACCACGGCTGAAATATTCGGATGAATCAGTAATGAAATAATCGGATGAATTAGTTGAATTAATATAAAAAAAATGAAATAAACAATGAGTATGAAATTCTAAATCATCAAAAGACGATCATGAATACTAACAATTGAAATGTGAAGTAATTGTTTTTGAATATTTTTTTCAGTAATTTATTGTTTCTCCTTTTTTTTGTTTTGTTTATCATTTCTCTTTTTTAATATTTCAAGTTCCTATAATTTGTTATTGTTACAAATTAGCATTTATTATTTTGAACTTCGTATTCTCTTGGTCACGATACGTGTAGTATTTCAAGTACAACATTATTTTTTTCTTGTCTTGTAAATTTCAGATCTGTTGTTTAGGCAATGTTTAAGATTGTCGCCTACTTGTCCGACAGCACGGCACTGACCGTCGCCTGATGGTTACGGGTAGTAGTATCGCCCACTTGTCCAGCTACAACCAGCATACTGAAGGTGTTGTTTTTTATAATTCAAGGGAATTTCAGTTGACATACAGCGGTGACATCAACATGTCTATCACTAGCAGTCCTGATGAAGAAGTCGTAATTATAGTGGCCGTATTTCTAGTGTTACTGAAAATTCTTATTTTATGAAAAATCTAGACCATATTTTTGTAAAAATTATTTTGTTGAAATTGAATGGAACTTGAATGTATTTTTCAATTAATCATTTATTCATTACATTCAGGATATCCAATGGCTTGAATCTCTTAGAAACCAGTCCTAAATTGACCTATCTCAACCTGAGCGGAAACAAAATCAAAGACTTGGATACTTTAGAACCTTTGAAGAGTTTGAGGTATCTGAAAAACTTGGATCTCTTCAATAATGAGGCTACTTCTACCGATAATTACAGGGAGAAAGTATTTAAGATGATACCAAGCTTGAAATATTTGGATGGGTAAGTTGAAATATAATTATTTCTTGAAAGAAGGTAAAACTGAATAATTTTTCAATAATGATATATTTGTACTAGCAAATGTTCAGTGTAGAACCTTTCAGTAATCTGAATGCAAAAGAAATGTATGGATAGTGGTGAAAGTGTTTTAGAAAAAAATGCTGAAGCTTCACCAGAAATGTTGTAAATATGTATATATTTTTTCAGTTTTGATGAACAAGATGCTGAAGCTGAAGAAGACAGTGATATTGACGAGGAAGTCAATGGAAACGAAGATGACAGCGAAGAAGAAGAAGAAGGATCTTCTGAATCTGGAGAGGACATGGATGACGTAGGGTTAGGAGCAGTATACTCTGAAAACCTCGATGAACTGTCAGATGAAGGGGATTATGAGGCAGTTGAAGAAGAAGAGGATGAAGATGGTATTGAGGAAGAAGAAGATGAGGACGCTGCTGAGGAAGAGGCTCAGCGGGCTGAAGGTGAGTGTTCCATTTTTGTTAGGCTATAAGTAATGGCAGTTCACTTACACTCAATCCTTGACATTATACACAGTTGAATTGTATATTGGCCCTGGTTTCAACTATAAGAAATGTTGGAAAGCAGAAAATCTGTTCATTCAATCAATCTAAAAAAAGTCATCACCTAGTAGATACCAAAATAATTTGAAATTAAGGACGATCAAATACTCAATCTTGTATATTTGAGACATTTATTTTTCTACAACAGTTGCACAATCTTCTATTATAAATGTTACATTAAATTCACATTAAAAAAGGTGATATTATGAAAAATGAAACTTCCTATGTATTTATACGACTTGTATTTGTAACTAGCATACAATAAACTAGATTCACTGTATCATTTGAAAATGTCTTTATAGGACAAAACTGCAGTGACGTTAGTGACAAATACAATGGGTATTTCTCATTGTTCATAATGATCTCCTACCATGTAGTAACGGCTACATCCATCAATTTATTGAAAGATGATATTATTTTTAATCCACAAAATCGTTTATTTTGTGAAAGATATTACATGTGAAATCATATATTTCATTCACGAAAGAATTTTTTAAATTAGGATTTGTAATTTTGTTATAACGTTTTATTCCAATATATTTTGGGGAGTATGACCATCCCTGAGGATACTATTGGATACTGAAACACGTGTTTTTTGAGCAGCCTGAAATTTCCAATTTATAATTCAAGGGAATTTCAGTTGACATACAGCGGTGACATCAACATGTCTATCACTAGCAGTCCTGATGAAGAAGTCGTAATTATAGTGGCCGCAATATTGAATGTAGAAGAATATAGTCACAAAAAGAATGTTGTGGGTCCATCCCATTATTCAAAAGAGGGCAAATCTGGGAGAGTTTCATCATCTTTTCAACGACCTGAAAGAAGACGAGACATTTTTCCAGTATTTCTGAATGACCCCAGGCAAATTTTCAAAACTTCAGGATATTCTAGTACAACTCAATTTTTCCTCGTCCATTTTCATAGGTACCGTCTGACACTGTGCTGTCAACTGATGAAATAACAAAACAGAGAGACAGAAACTTCCCTGACACATTTGGACAAGTTGATGCTGGCAAGCGCTGGCCGGCGACGCGCTCACTTGGCCAGTCCGTCACAGCACGTACCGTTATTTGCCGGACAGGATCGGAGAGCTGGAATCCTTTCTGGCGGCGGACGCTCTTGGATGTGCCGTGCCAGGCTAGTGGGCGGTTGTCCACTGATTTTCATTGTTCCAATCCTATCCGTATTTTGACGGGAGGGGCCGTGCTGTGCCGGACAAGAGGGCGACGAGCTTTAAAAATATGTTTTTTCCGTTAACCAGCTATCGCACCCCTACGAACGACAACCCTCAGAAGTCGAAGCTTGTGCGAGCTAAGAACTAACGAGGTCTTACCTTTTAACGTTTGATTCCTAACACGGGTTGGACGATAGCAAGTGAAAATCGAGTGTTCAGCCTGGGGCTTGAACCATCGGCCGATTGACTGGGTGAACAAAGCACCCACGTCGGAACAGCCCGGCTACCGACCGATCTCAGTTGTTTCTGAAATGCTTTAAAGAAAACTATTTTGCAAACTACTGAATCATTGATGATGAAATCTCTTTCACTATTGTTGATCTTGATATTTTCAAACACCTTGAACAGGAATTATATATTTCCTCGGGCATATTTTCTGAACATCAATACTTCAAAAGTTCCAATAGAAGTTGTTTCATATAAAAAAATTTACATTAGTTACAAGTAAAAGTGGTTAAAAGCAAAAAGTTTCAATTCGCTTTTCTTCATTATGATTTCTTACCACGTAGTAACGGTTATATCCATCAATTTATCAAAATTTAAAAGCAAACTAGTGATGTAAGAACGTTTTTGGCCTTCTACCTCTCTATCTTGATAAAAAATATGTGGGAATCTTCCAAAAAACGGAAGGAAACAGTTGACTCCACAAAGATGTATAGATTATGTAAAGTAACTTCAGACACAAAACTGGAAGAGAAAAAAAAACCCCTCAAAACAGCTATTTTCATATACTATTTCGATTTAAAAAAGTGATATTTTCAACAATTGAAATTCCCCATGTTGGTGAGCGATAAATTGCAAAAGACATGAGTATAAGTAATACTTCCATGAATACAATATTCATTCACATGAAGAACTCTTACGAAAGGGATTTTCATACCAGAGTTTGCTATTGTGAACATTTATTGAATAGAATTTGGCCCTACTCTGAACGATCGATTTTCACTTGCTATCGTCCAACCCGTTTAGGAATCACGTTAAAAGGTAAGACCTCGTTAATGCTTAGCTCGCACAAGTTTCGACTTCTGAGGGTAAGTACATTTTGTTTGGTGATGGCTCAGCATTTAAAAGTAATGGTATGATAAACAGACAACTTCCACTAAAATTTGTCGAAAACCCCTCATTGGGTCAGGGAAGTAAATAATGATAATAGATGACTTTATTGACAGATAACAGTGGACAACAAAAACATATCAATTAATGTTTGGAGGGTCATAATTGAGAATGGTCATAGGTCCACGCTCCTTTGATGGTTTTTTTTTTAGTCTCAAGGGGTAAAAAGAGAAAGCATGAAGGCGACGATGAAAACTAAAAATCCAGATTGCGTACATCATCAACTTGTAGTGATATGAACATTTTTATTATCGACCAATGAAGTGTCTCCAATTCGGCGAGAAGAGACTTTTTCAGTGAGTCATCACCCCTGGCTGTGGTTTCATATTAAAAAAAGTTCAATAGTCGGTTGGTATCGACACTCTAATTCTAAATTAATGTCCAAAAAGTATTCCACATGCAATTATAAATTGAAAGGGCTATTTTCCAAGGAATAGGTTACAATGGAAAAATAAGACTGACGGTTTCTAGAGTATTATGGGAAACATTCAAGGCAGGTTTTATTGTATTTTACTTTTTTTTTGACTAGATTTTGGAGTGTAATGAAATGGTTTTAGTTGAACCATGTGCTTGCTAGAAAACAATTGAGAAAAAAGTTTCAATTAGGAAATTCAGATATTGGAATCATTCTCATCAAGTAATCACACTTTGAGGTACCGTAAAGTACATGGGTTGGTGTCAATTCCCACTAGCAATACTTTCTCTCTTTTAGTCATCCAAAGGCAGAGCCTTCAAGGATGGGGGAATTTTGAACTACTTTTTTATATAAACCGAAACGTGCAATCTTATTTAAAAAACACTTTTTTGTAGAGGAGTCTAAACTTTCTTGAACTCTTACAGCTTTCAAACCTTCCCCAGTCTAAAAAATAAATATAATAGAGGAACATAATAGAGGAACTGGGCAACTGTAATCAAGGGCAAATTGAAAAATTTCATATCATCCGCTTCTTGAGAGAATTCCAATCAGTAATTTGAGGTCATTCACTTTTTTCCTATCAAATAAGATGAGATTGATTTAAAAAATTAATTGTTGTAATGGTTAGCTCTTTTCTGAAAAGGGATGATGTTTCATCTTGATTGATGGACAAAAATTTATAAAATGAATAATTACATATTGGACTTTTTCATGGCCAACTTTTCAACTCAATTACACTTGCACACATTCTCTGTTCTGGATTTATTTTATTTGAAATTATGGAAGGTTGGAAACAAAGAAGGATTCACGAAACATGCACAAACTCTTCGACACAAAATTTTGTTTCATATTTCCATGTTACATTTTCCTTGGCCATAGCTCACCAAGAAATCAATTCTAAGATGTTGTTTTCGTAGTGAAGTAACAGCCAGAAGTTGTTAAAAAAGTGAAAGTCAATGGTATAGTTATATTTTGTACATCCATTAATATCTAATGTCTAGTAATTTTAAGGGTGTTAACATACATATGAAGTAAGTTACTGTTTTTTATTGAATTGTGTTATATCCTGAATTTTCTCAAATTAAATATCTTCCCATGGATTTGTTGAGTTGTTTTTATAATAATATAATAATGCTAAATTCTTTATTGCTTGGAGACAATTTACCTTTTATGGTTATCATCATATTTCTATCCTATTCTGTTTCCTGATAGTAAAGAGTAATAAATGCCAAATGCTAACATCCTAATTTATGATAATTCGATCGTTTTATTACTTGTAGTGGGGTTGCTATGGATGTTTAATAAAAAATAGTTGTTCAAACTGATAACTATGTTTATTTATGTAATTATAAATATGCATGCTCATTCAAGAAGATGTTAGGTATAAGGTATAAGCAAAAGGTTTGGTGTGTTATCATCAAATGAGTCTCTATTGAATGTTATGAATGAAGGTTCTATAAGTTTTTCAAGTAAATGATGTAATTTCTATTCGTTGTCCTCTTTCACTACATATGCGCCATTTTTTGGAATCAATATTTTTCAAGGACTCGCTTCCAAGATTAATTCAACATATTTTTCTTTGAATGTTTTTCTTCTTGCAACGAAATCCTTGGCCCAAACGAGTTCCATGGGATTGACTTTACAATGATAATGGGTCAGAAGCATGGTATATTTTTTTCTCGAAGCCAATCACGGACTGAGTCATTGCCAGTGAGAAGCCCCCACCCTCAACACAATAAGCATGTATGTAAGATTTCTGCCACCAGCCATGACTCAGTCCAGTAGCTGTACTTGTATGTCTTGCCACATCCTTCCAACGGTATATCCTTTGTTAGGCCAAGTTTTGTCCAGATTATAAATCTTTCCATTCCGTCATCGAAACTCATAATTGTCAATTTTCTTTTGAAGTTTTCCACAATTTATTTCTGCTTGTCATTGGAGACATACATTTCTGGTCTTTTCTCAAGGCTCCCAGTATTTTGTCGAGAGTTGTTAATTCTTTCTTAAAATACAATTAAATGTACTGTTCTTATATTTGCAAGTTTGTAGTTTTCACCAACAGGCAGTTTTTCTTCCCGAAGATAGTTTTCGTGATTCCATTGTTTCATTTTTTTTCTCTCGTTCTTCACCAGAGTATCAACGGTGTCTCACCTTTCATTCATCTTTTATTCAAACTATATCAAGAGGAACAGGTTGGAAAAAAGGGAAGAAAACTGTTATTGAAATCTAACAATTTAATATGCCACCCAGACAACAAAATTATATCATTCATTAAATTTTCAATTTATTCATTTGTTTCTTCAGCTGGCTCAACTTCGTCAAACACTTGTCCCGCCAATTTCTTCTCTCCTGTAAAAATAAAATTTAAACAATCCTGTTTTCAAAATGACAATCTACGTGACAGATTTTCAATAAATATTTCAAAATAACAAATGGAGAAACCTCGCATTCTGGAGGTTCCACCTTGATCAAGTCCAAAATTCTACCACCAGCACAAGTTTCGGATTTGATACTCATGGATAAAAAAAATTGAATTTGGATACCACTCAATAGTTGAATTCTAGCGAAGAACCACTCACCCACAAACTGCTCAACATCAAAATAGCTTCTAGTCCCAATGGAGAATCTATTATCATTCTCAAAAAATACGGCAAAGAACTTGCACCAGGCTTCTGTACGAGTTTCAACTTGTCTTACAAAAAAGAGGTATTTCTTTTTAATGAGAACGCTGCTAGCCCTCAATTCATAATCACAAAGGGCAGTACAAATCTTCAAAATAACTACAACTTCATCAGGATTTCAAAAAAGTGATGGGATATTCAGACATGTGTTCAGGACTGTTCAGCTAGTGCTTGAAAGATATTTGTAAGGGCGTGGGTTGGGGATTCAAAGGCACTGATAATGGAACATCTCTGTTCCATCGTCAGAAACTTTAGATTCGTCACACACCTCTAGCAAATACCCTCCAACCACAAACCGAACAGTCCTCGTCATCTATCTGAAACTCATATTTTATTGAGATCCTGAAATCCTTCAATATCCGACAAACAGACGTCCTTTTCAGATTTAACGTATTTTTTTCACGAATATACCAGTATTCGAAACCTTGTCCGTTCTTGAAACGAAATACCAAATTACCCAAGACACTCCCAACCCCAGCAGCCATTGCTTGTCCAACACATATTTTCAGGAAAACTCTAAACAAGTGGAAGACGTCTCATTGATTTCCCGATCTCTTCAGCTGTTGCAAACCTTGAAGACTGTGAAACCAGAGCCATTGACACCTCAAACCTACGTGTTGATTTCAATAGGTATTGTTATGTGGCCCATGGATTTAAAAATCTGCATACATAACTAAACCACAGAAACCCCTTCACATAAAGCCTGTTACCGCGTTAGACCTAGACAGCCATACTGGTTAAGCCATACATTCCAGTTTTAGAAAATTGCTTCAAAGCCAAAAAAAGTCAAACAACTAAAATTTTTAGACGCGGTTCAACTTGGAGTTCAGATTTCTCAATATTGTCACTCTATTATACATAATCTGTAATTTTGTTATCAAGTTACCTGTAATTTATCCAAAGGAACATCTTTCTCCAATTGTTTCGCAATTTCCAGAACATGTGGTCCTTCAAACTTCGGGGTAGGCTTAAAATCCTTGCTCACAGCATAGATAGTGTCTGCGTAACTTTTACAGTAATTCACAAAACCATGATCATTCAGATGTGTGGTCTCAAGCATTCCCAAGAAGGCATACCTCATTCCCAAGCCCTCCGACATGATTTTGTCAATATCGCTCACATTGAGGACCCCTTCGGTTACCAAGTGCCAGGTTTCATTCAATATAGCATATCTAAACAGATGAAGTGTATAAAAGTGATGTACAAAACAGCCAAAATTATTAGAATTATTGGCAAGACCACAGTGAATCTTTTAAAAAGCCACTAATACTCAAACCATAGCATATTTTATTTTCAGACATTATTTTTTTCAAAACTCATGAATTATATTGCTAAATTACACTGAAAAGTTTTTGACTTACTTATCAATTTTCGTCAAAAAAACTTTTCAAGCGAATGATGCGTAATGGATCATTCTGTAAATTTGTTTGCTCATAACAACGAGAACACATTATGTTCAACTTTTTAAATGGGAAGTATAGGCTTGTGATATATCGTTTGAAAGGTCTTCATTTTCTATTCAAAAATGTTATCGCTTTCAAGTCTATTGCAACAATTAAGATTAAAATCATGTGGTTACCGAAATTCGATAAAATACAGTCAAAACTTATTTAATGTCGAGGTATTGATAATAAGAAAGTAAGCAAAACCCATAGCAATGTTCTTTTTAGATGGTATCCTTTGAAAACTTTAAATAATTTCCGTGGCAACGTAAGTTTAAAACGCCTTGTCAACTTGTTTTGTATGTTACAACATTAGTTGTCAGTATTTCAATTTAAGTTTAAAGTTCGTTAACTTCAAGTCTGACAAATGGTTAGATTAACGGAAATGCATAAAATAACAGTTTTACAAATGATTGGTTAGGTTAGGTTGGTGGTTAGTTAGTTAATAAAACCCGAACACAACAGAAAGTAGCTCGCCTATTTCACGAGAAATTTCCTAATTTACCACCTATATCTCAAGGAACAATAAGCAAAATAGAGAAGCAATTTCGCGAGCTTGGTCATGTGGGGCGGATGAAAAAAGCAGCTACCAATAAAATGAGTGATGAACTCAAATTAGACGTAATGCTTGAGTTTGAGGAAATCCCACATACGTCGAATAAACAGCCATCCACTACATTCAATGTTAGCCATACATCGATAGTTAGCCATACATCGATATATGATGGACATATAGGATAACAATATCATCCAATTAGAAGACGTTATGTTTTCTGATGAGTGTACTTTGTCTCTTAACGGTCATGCTAATCGGCAAAATTGCCACTACTGGTCAACGGAAAATCCTCTCTGGATGAGAGAATAACAAACGCAATACCCTCAAAAGGTAGGGATTGTAGGAAACCATATCATTGGCCCCTTTTTCATTGAGGGCAACTTGAATGGCAATAATTATTTGGCACTACTTCAAAATGATGTCATTCCAAGTTTAGCAAATTTATATCCTGATCCAGGAAACCCTCAAGTTCTAGTGAATACGATATGGTTTCAGCAAGATGAAGCACCACCACATTACCAAGTTAATGTCCGGCAATACCTCGATACAACATTTCCTAATCGGTGGATAGGGAGGCGAGGATCGATTGAATGACCAGTGCGATCAACTGATCTTTCATCATTAGATTTCTTCTTGTAAGGATATGTAAAGAGCAATGTGTACAAAACTGAACTTTCAGATTTGAATGACTTATAAGAACAAATAACGCTTGCGATCAGGTCGATCGCGCCTGATATGTTAAATAATGTTAGAGGACAGTTTTATTTGAGATTAGGATGTTGTCAAGAAGTTCGCGGTGAACATTTTGAACATCTACTTCGTTAACATCTATAGTTCTTTTTCGTATTCTATATTTCATTACATTTACATTTTAGTTTTTGAGTGCATTTTATCGAATTTCGGTAACCACATGATTTCAATTTATTTTATTTTAATTGTTGCAATAAACTTGAATGCGATAACATTTTTGAATAGAGAATGAAGAGACATTTCGAACGATATCACAAACCTATATACTTTACATTTAAAAAATTGGTGGTTGTACCTGTCATTCAAAGGGGGTTGTGTTTAGGGTTTTTTTCAAATATGTACGTACAGTAACCGAAATAATGAATTCATTCCATTTGACTTTTACACACTGTATGTGTCACAACTGAGAATCTGGAGCTAGTAGACAACTCTGATTCGAGAAAAATATTGATTCAATTTCCGCCCTGATATGGAGGAATGCCGTGGAAGATTTGAATAAAGAGTCACAATAAGAAGACGAGGGGAAAGTGTATCGTATTATTCTGGAATTCTCTCTCAAAAATTTAGTTTGACCCTTTTCCCGTGACTGAATGATCATCGAAATGTTAACCTTTTTGAATTCAATAATTTCATTTTTTCTGATACGTAAAATGTATAGACATGTCGTAAGGTGTTGAATCAAACATCAAAATGAGTTTCTTTATAAGGTCCAAGTAAGTCCATTCTTTCAAGTTCATAGAATATCTTGAAGTAACTATTTCCAGTTCACTAAGAGATACATTACGGATACTTAAACCCATAAAATATTTATTTATTTACGGACTTGCCATTATAGAATGAACACATCAATAGTGTGATTGAAAAAATAAACAATTCAATAATAATATAGAATATCATAAAAGAAAGAAAACAAATATCAATTAATTATTAATAATAATAATCAGCAGTTTCTTCATAGTAGATCAATATAGCTGCTGTTCTTATTTGCTAACCTAAGCATTCTGTGATGGTTTCATTTATGCCATAACTTGTAGAATGGTAAGGAACTTTAAACAACTCCAACACTCTGATTCTTCTTGAATTTACACTGAAGTTGATCATTTGTGTTAGAAATGGACAGTTCATATCACCATTTATAACTTTATGAAGAAGTCTTAGATCAATTTCAGCTCGGCGGTGCTCCAAAGTAGATAAATTTAAAAGAAACAGAATGTCTGAGTACTCATAGTTGGACCTCAGATAACCAAGCTTAAATGCACATGATCTCAGAAATTTGTTTTGTACTTTCTCAATCATAGATATATCTGTCTGATATAGAGGACTCCGTATCACGCAATTATTTTCCAAGACCGAGCGTACCAAGGAACAGTACAATATTTTGAAGATATTTATAGAAAATTTATCTGTAGATCGTTGAAAAAATCAGAATAATTTGAGTGGTTTAGATGTAATGTGATCAATATGACCTTTAAAGGTTACTTTGCTATCAAACAACACTCCCAAGTCCCGAACGCTGTTAGTCGACGTTAGATTATGGTTTTTGATTTTATATGGATATACAATAATATGTTTCACGGCTCTTGAAAATGTTATTTGATAACATTTATTTATATTCAAATGAAGCGTATGTTCGTACTACAACTCTGTAAAGTTTGAGATCATCTGCAAACATTGAATAATAGCTGTGGCGTATGACATCCGACACATCGTTTACAAAAAGAATGAAGAGTATTGGACCTATATGAGATCCTTGAGGGACACCAGACGTTACAGGAATTTGTGATGATATGGAACCAGCATATTTAACATACTGAATTCTATTATCCAAATAACTCTTTATCCATTTTGACATGTTACCATTGATGCCTAATGCTAGGAGCTTTTGTTTGGAATATTTTTTTAGGACAATTGAAAATAAAAAATTTTTGATTATATCAAGCTAGAAGAAATGAAATGTACTTACTGAAGTCTGTTTATAATAAATCCAGGTACTTCTTTCGTAAGCGAAACAGGTGTCTGACCTACCTCCTCCCAAATGGCTCTGGTTTTTTTAGCAACTTCTGGATCAGTCCAAGGAGCAGGAACTACTTCAATAACTGGGACATAATAAGGAGGGTTCACGGGATGAGATACAATGAAATTTTTTCTGAAAAAAAAAATAAAATGTCAATGAACTCTATTTTCACTACTGATTTGGGTTACGCAGATGTCGTAGAGAAAACTAAGAACATGTCATATTATAAATATTTTCATAATAAAGGTGATGGTGACGACGCAGGATAAACGAGACTCTCCCCGAGGTAGTCTGTTGCAAAACCAAGCATAGAAGCCGAAAGAGATTCGTCTTCTATCTTCCACTGCAGTTTTTTGATCCAACAGCAGCCAGTGCTGTTTCAAATACCAAGGACTCATCTGTGGTGCTAGGCTGAACCAACTTTTTTTTCAATATTCGGGAATTGAGTCTTCTATCGATCTCATAAATGTCGTCTTCGTAGAGAAAGATATCATCACCTCCACTTTCAGGCTTGTCCTTAATAGGATAGTTAAGTGGTTCAGCCTAAGATCACTGATGATACCATGGTGAGACGAAGCAGCGCTGTCTGGCGTTGGATCACAAGTACATATTTTTAAATGGAAAAAATTCAGAATGAAAGTAAATTTGTACATGGCCCTCCTGCTATGTGGTGAAATTGGCCGGTACTTCATGAAAATCCATATGAATATAGACCTTTTGCATCAGGTGTTCATACAACTGAAATTAGGTGATGAACAAAATTTGTTTGATGAGAGTTTAAGAATATTTTGACTAAGTTTTCGAATATGAAAAAGCTAACAGTTATTCCAAACAAGAAAGTTCGTCAATCTCCTGTCATAAAAAATGATTGACTAATATCACAAATTTATTATAGGTTTATTATCACACACAACTCATCATATCATAAACGCAGGCGATAAACATACCCTAGTTAATACAAGACGTCAGAAAATAATTTGAAAAATTGAATAAAACATAATAATGATATAACTGAAGGTAATATCAGGTACTAAATGAGTAACTACGTTCGGAAATGAAATGTGTCTGTTGAGAAAAGTTGTTCGGATCTTCGGCACATAAACTTTAAATTCTAATCAAAATTTCTGAGAAACAAACTGGAGAGCCTCTAAGATAGTCCTGAAAATTAAGTCAAATGAGGATTAAGGCATGCTTTAGACTTATATATGACGATTACCGTGAGCTACCATTTCTACTTACAAAGAACATAGTCAGTCCATTAGGACAGAAATCAAACAAAAATATCATCTAGTGAAATTTACATCTGGTTCGGATGAAATAAATAACTAGAAAAACCTTCACAAGTGCAAACTCATCAGATGCATTAGATCAAAAGATCCCAAATGGTATTTAACAGAGTTCTGAAGAAATAATCTCTGAGAGACTCATGGAGGAGGCAGTACGAGGAAATTGAATCAGATGCACAGGACCAGAAGGTCTTTTACCGAATGTAACAACGCCCTGAGGAAATCCACGAGAGACTCATAGAGGAGGTAAATTGAGTAAATTGAGGATTGAGTAAATTCGAGTAGGTGCTAGACTCCACAAAAAACTCACAACAAAATCTCAGTGAGGTTATTCTGTTAATTTTCTGTTTGAAGGCATCATGTCATTGTAGATATGACAATATAGGATTTGTATCTATATTTTAAAACATTGTTGTAGTCTACAACTATAAACTCTAAGCAGGATAACCGTGCAGGTGTCAAGACATGATTTTTAAATAAACACCGGGAAGTACATCAAAACAGAAGAAAATACTTCAAAGAAACTTTCATCTCGGATGTCTTGTTCGTTTGCTTCATTGCATCGTCAAAAAAACTTCTCCAAAATCTATCAATATCTAACAGATCACTGATTCGAAACCTACGTGCATAAAAAGTAAAATGTCAAACAAAGCGTCAGAGTTCAAAAAAATCAGAATATGCTCATAAGAACAAATATGTACATTTTTCTTTCTTTTAAACCCAGGAGATATTCGTTAACATGTTGAGAGAGGGATCGATGGGACAAGTTTGTGGGTACTTAGATAGAGTGCATGATCAGAGATCAGAGTTCGGTGTGCTTGTCCATTATAAAATGGTTTGTTCTGGTTCTAACATCCGAAACTGTTTGGAAACAGCGCAAAACATGATGCGTACAAGCAAAAAATGTCAAACAGTCCAAAATAGTCTCAAACACTTGTTTAAATCAGAAGGCATTTTGAGGAGACCACTGTGCCACCTATCGTATATATGAAGAGATGAAGACGAGAAAATACTATTGATCATGTCCATTTTGTTATGTAACGTATCCTTATAGTCAGTTCAAAAATGTTATCTAACCTCAATCATCAATTATTCAAATCAAATAATAACAGTTCAGCCTCTATATAGAAGGTTTGTTCTGGTTCTACGAAATTCATGTTCTAGGACGTCAGGATCATGCGCCTCTGTTCTTTGGTTTAAGAGTTCAACTTGAACAAATCGATTTTAGTGAAGATTCACGATTTTCAACAATTTGTTAGGAGAAAATATGTTCCAATATAGAATGACAACCACGAATTTCTGTCTTTTGAATTACCCAAACAATGTCTATAGATTCAAAATTAAATCTAGCCGTCTGTGATTTGGGTTTGGGAATGACGTCTTCTGTGAGGATCAAGAATAATACTAACTTGTTTGTGAGGTGATCGCTTAAAGAAGATGGGAGGAAAGTCGATGTGGAACTAGATAAAATTGTATTTGGCGATACAACATCATCAACTTGCTTCCATACTTTCCTTTTCAGTTCGAGTCTCTCTGGTACACACTCCTGTATTATACTGGCGTTTTTTACTGCTTCTTGAAGGTTTGTGGTACCTATGGGAGAAAAAAAGAAAGAGGTGAAGTTGGAGAGAATGTACGTTTAGCGGTCCGCTCATAAATTTAAAGTAGTGACTAATTTTTAAAATTCGTGCCTTTTATTATTATCAGAGAAATATTATTCATGGAGTTATCGATTGTTTGAAATTTGAGTGAGTTATAAAATTATTGTCACGACATAGAGCAAAAACTCAACCAAGTGGTTCACCAAATTCCAGGTCCTTTTTTTACAAGGTTAAACTATTGTATTTCAATAGTAAAGTCCTCATCAAATGGGATTTTTTTTAAATACAACGCGTACATCAATTTCTGATTCAATCGAAATAGAAACAATCATAAAATTAGTTGTCATGTGATTTTCATTATGTGTCAAATTTTATTTTATGTCCCGAAAAAATGCGATTATTTATCGAAATGCAGAATGAAGTTTATTAAGAAAATATTTAATATAATTTTTAGCCTTAAGGCAAACTTTCAGATGCACAAGAAAACTTTGGTCAATTCCACAATTCACAACAATTCCAAAATGAATTCAGAAGTGATTATGATGATATATATTCGTCGATTTTAGGAAAACATCTCATTGAGATACTATTCTCGTCAAATAGGTGAATACGAGTATATGCTGAGAGATATATGCTGAATATATTGACGGTAAGTGTATGAGATTTTCAGATTCCTCGCGGCAGTATTTAAAAATACATTTGTTTTATGGAAAACGTATAAGAATGAATGAAGCTTCTTCTCATCATTCGAATTATAGTCAACATTCTGTGAATTGATTTCAGTTTTCTGTTCTGAAAAATAATGATTTCTTCACGCAATTTTCTAAAAGAGGATCTCACAACAGAGCGTTAGGTTAGATACATGAGTTGTAGTTTGAAGTTTTCTGTAAATGCTTGACGCATTTCTGTATTTACCCTCAATGAGAGAAAACTGTTGGTCAGCTGAAAGATTTCCTCTGAGAAGTCCATCTGCTTCAAGAGTCTTGAGCTGTGTTTTAACATCTGCCAATGCTCCTTCAATTTGTTTTGGCTCGATATCGTACAAACACGCTTTGTATCCGGAAGCTGCGAAAATCATAGCCCATGATCTTCCTATGAGACCACTGAAAAAAAAATTGATTCAAGAATTATAACAGTTTTAAAGTACCTATAAATTTGTTCGGTTTATTTTCAATTTTCTGCTACTTTCGAAAGAACCACAACATAAACATATAATCTAAATTAGAAAAGCCGTTTCGATTAGTTTTTCTATATCCTGTTAGAATCACTTTATTTTGAAAATTATTCAGTATTACTTGTACTGGAAAATTCTCAAGTATCGTCAAATGTTTTTCAATATTAATGCATGATAAAAACAAAATTATTATAAAAAGATTTTATTTAAAGAAAATGGGCTGTGGTGTTGTTCCGAAAATATAAACCTACATCGAAACTATTTCTTAGTCTGATACCACTGGAGGATAGCCCGGAGTAATTCCTTGACATTCTGGAAGAGTTCCCTCTAGTGATCAGATAGTGGAGAACCCGTCAGTATGGAATCAGACCCGATCTTTCGTCCGAAGTCGCATCAACACGAAACTGTTCCAAAAACCACTCACAGCTACCCAAGAAAGAAAAATGAACCCCACCAATGAATCAACATAGAAATGAAAGCATCTTTGGAAAATTTAGCAGTATAACCCACTAACAATTCTATATGTACTAACGTGAAATGAAAAAAGCTACAACCAAATCCATTACAATGCTAACACATCTCAGAAGAGGCCTAAGCCTAGAACAAGGGGGGCTCACAAAAGAAATATCAGCCAAACAACTCATCTATATATCTATCCAATGAATGTTGTGAATTTAATCGACCCAAGAGAAGCCAGTGGCAAATTTGTTCCATCGATAATAAGGCTACAACTGACATCTCCGTGGAGGCAGCTAAGACTACCTTTGTGCGACATTCGAATCCAGGATTGTATATAAAAATGAATCTTTAGTGAGAGTCTGTGCTATCAGTGAAATCAAAAATCATGGAGAAAGTCGTTAGCCACCATATCTTCAGATATTTGGAAGGCTTCAACATCTTGAGCGATTATCAATATGACTTTCGGAAACAAAGATCAACAGGCGACCTTCTATCGTATGTCACCAATATTTGGAATAACGCGATCGAGGAACATGGTGAATCAAGAGCTGTTGCGCTTGATATTTCGAAGGCCTTTGACCGTGTGTGGCATGAGAGTTTGCTGGTCAAACTTCGATGCTATGGCTTGTCGGATCATTTTTGTGTATGGCTCTTCAGCTTCCTGAATGAACGTTCCTTGCAAGTGGCTGTCGATGGATGTCTCTCGAATACTTTCACCCTTTTACCTTCAACGCTGGTGTTCCGCAGGGACCCGTATTGTCTCCAACCCTCTTTTTATTGTATATCAATGAAAGAACCAACGATAGCACACTTGTCCCGTCAACCCATTTGAATTCCAGAACATCGACTACGGAAGCACATCTTCACCAGCAGCAAGAGGTTGGATATCCTAAAGAGGATCTAGAAGTGATTCCGAATTGGGGTGAAAGTAACCATGCAGGTACAATTCAATACCACAAAAACCCAGACATCGGTTTTATCCAAGAAGATGAATGTCTCTGTACCAGATATAATAATGTCAGATCAGACAATTCCGCTTGCTGCTTCAATAAGTTTGTTGGGGATTAAAATGGACACCAATATGTCTTGGCACAATCATGTCGCTAGAATTGCTAAGGCTGCTTCTCAAAAGCTTGGAACACTGTTCCGAACCAGAAAACTGAACACACTTCAGCAACTTTTGATGCTTTGTAAAGCTCAGATGGGACCTTCTTTGGAGTATTGTTCTCATGTATGGAGCTCTGCCCCCCAACATACCCTGAAGTTGCTGGATTCCATCCAGAAAAGAGTCATCCGCCTGATTGGAGACGTGAACACCACGTGCAATTTTGATAGCCTGGAACATCGAAGGAAGGTTGGAGATTTGCCACTCTTCTATAGAGTGATCAGGGTTTTGTTCAGTTGGATCACTTTCTCCAATGAAATGTAGGTAGTGAACAAATATAAGTATCCTTGGTAACATCATCAATAGATTTAAAACCTCGGTCACTCCTGCCACATTTTTTTCACCCATAATTCACATTTCGCACATTTTCCACTGGCATTAATATGCTTGATGATTTGATAATTTTTTTTTGTGATATTCTAGACAATGCTTTGGAAAATGTATAAAATAGTATGTGTTGGTTTTGAATGGTTTGTATCGTATACTCCACAACTACACCGTTTTGTTGTTCCTTTTCGTACAGATAACATAATTATAATGGAGTATAAAAATTTGTTTCTGATTATTTTTACTAACTACTTTTTTTACAACTAACAAACTTCAATTTATATTATAATTTTTAAAACATGAGTTGCGGGCTCTTTAACATGGTTGTTTACAAAAAACAGTACGAAAAAGATGGCTGATACTGACGCATGCGCACACAAAAAATTGTGATGAAAAGGCCTATGCGGTAATCAATGCGGTGTTGCCAGTGATGAGTGTACAAAAAGCATTAAAATATGCGTTCTCTAAATTTTGCGAGACCTTGTATTCACTATTTTCTGCAAACTAGTATTAGATTTATTTATATTTTCATAACACCATATGTTTTCCTTGATACTTGAGCACAATGTTTCCACAGTTCTTTATTTCTCCTACCAAAAAGCATATATTTGAAAATTCTAATATACTCAACATATTCTGAAAATATACCTATTGAAATGATTTACCACTAACTCATTAATACAGCACAAATAGGCATTTTGATGCCTAGATGTATTTCACCCATTTGTAGTGGTTTTAACAAATGTTTATGACTTAATTCACTTATTATCTGAAAAAAAATGAAATAAATTCGATTTGATTTTGAATTTGATTTGTTCTACAATGACAAGCATTCACTCAATTTTGTCAGTAATCATAGTTAAATTTTTCAACACACAATATAATTTTTTTTCTGCCAGTTATTATAACATATTTTTCAAGTTCACATCATTTCGTATTTTCATTATACTGTATAAATTTTTGAAATCATGGTCTCGAGCATCCTGAGCCCATAAATTTTATTCATGTTTCTACATGAATCTGAATTTTTTCAATACCCAAATTTTCCTACGTAGAACTGGTGGAGAATGGATACAACACGCGTTGTATCAATCAAGTTTTGAACTAACTAAACTCAATTGGTTGAACGGGTGATCATCTCCTTATGATGCTAACTTAGTTAGCATAAATGTTTTTACCGGTAATAACCTATTTTCAGAAGAAAATATTGAGTGTATGCAGATACTGGTATACAATTCATTCCCTTGGTCAATAATTATATCGATTTCATTTTCAATATTTTCTTCAAGCAACTACTAACCTCAGGAAAAAATCTCAATCTTATTAAAACATACCAATATTTTTATTAACACGCTTTTATTAGCTTCACCAGTATGTATGTATGTTTGTTGGTAACTCTCCTTGCTTGATCTATTCGCGGGCAGATGGCGTTGTACGTAACCTCCCTGATATATCGATATTATTGCTTGATCTATTCTCGGCCAGATGGCGCTGTGCGTAACCTCCTTGATATATCGACATCATTGCTTGATCTATTCGCGGGCATATGGTAACCCCCTTGATATAATTCCAACTCACTTCACATGTATTTCTTCATTTGAAAAAAGGTTTTTTTTGTTCACACGCACGCCTGCTGCCTTATTTGTAACCCTTCCTTACGCGCCTGCTGTCTTAGGCTTGGTAGCTGATTTTCAGGCTCCCTCTCCGGAATCGGAAAATATCAATAGTCATTTTTCTAAACAATATACGGCTGATTGCTCCCAAAGTTTAGATAAAATATATATAGTTTAAAAAACTAAAAAACACTTTTACATTGAACTAAAACAATGAACTAAAAAGTTTAAAATCTTTTTTTTTAAATAAGGCCAAGCCAAAACGTAAAGATTCATCAAGGTGAGTCTAAAAACCTGGTCACCATCGCGTAAAAAGATATTGGAGAAACAACCTGGAGCATTCAACATTTTGGGTGGGAGGATCCCCGAAAATTTTGGTTGGTTGTTTGAGATATNAATATAATTTGTAAATCTATATAAAAAAAAAATTAAAACAGAACTGTCAGTTAGCTAAGAAATGTATTTTGATTTGTATAATCTGGCAGTTGAATATATCTAGGATATGACTAACAGAATTAGAGGTATCTCACATTGTGTAAATTGGAGATTTATTCATTATATTTGTACGCGGAGTGTTGAGATAAAATGTGACACTATTCCTAGATGACCGTCTAGAAACCCAAAAATTCAACATATGTAACAATTGAGAGCAGGTAATGATATTGTTTATTACTTTGAACTGAAAAAAAAGTAATAATATTTACGCCTTACTTCGAGACTACAGAAATTGTGAGTTTCAAGCAATTCATAATAGGGTATACCTACAGTAGGATACGTGCCTTCAAGTTTGAAAGACATATATTTTAGAAAGCGCCTCTGTAGGGCTTCTAGTTGATTTATATGAACCTGATAGTAGGGACTCCACACAACAGATGTATATTCCAGCCTAGATCGAACAAAAGTGAAATAAAGTAATTTCAATATTGCAGCTTTTTCCAAGTCTATTGTATTTCTAACTAAGAATCCATACATGCGATAATCAGCTGTCAGAGTAGTGTCAATATGTTTATTAAAAGGGAGGAATGAATCAAAAGTAATACATAGATCAGTGAGTGTGTCAGAACTTGATTGTTTATGACGTAGTTGTGTAATGTCAAATTCGTTTTCAGTGAGATTTTGATATGCTGAGAGATAGATTATTATTCTTACGACAGCATGTAGCAACACGATTCAAATTCAGGGCGGGACGTTCGCAATCGTTAGAACATGTTATATTGTGATAGAGTTTCAAGTCATCTGCGTATAAAAGACAATTGACGTCAATCTCAGCTCCGATATCATTAATGAAAATATTGAACAGTAGGGTCCTAAGTTTGATCCTTGTGGTACACCAGAAGTGGCTACATATTCGACAGACTTGAGGCCAT